TGCCTTTGAGATTGCAGCCAGATTCCAGTATCTCTTGGATGAAGTGGGATCCATTTACGTTTAGGTCCTTGCTGCCATGCATTTCAGTGTCTTGCTACGTGGACATCCCCTTCACTGAGAGATGCCTCAAGAAGTTAAAATCTGCAGGCTTGTTCCCGACTGGCCTGGATGTCAGCTGAGGGTTGTTTCAAATCCTCGTCATTGCCACCCATGGATGGCAGAGACAGAGGGTTAGTGTGATTCCTCCCTTTTCCATTCACTTTGTGATCTTCCCCTCATTGGAGTAGCTGTCACATTTCAGAACATTCACAGGACACTCCTCTCCTTAAGCCTCCTCATTGCTGGTTCAACTTGAAAAAGCTGCTCTATAGCTGTGTGATGTCACTGTTCCCTCCTGTGACTCCAAGTGACAGGTGCCTCTAATTGGGAAGTTTGCTGAAAGCCTGAGACCATATTTCAAGAATACTGGTTTCAGGGTCAGATTGGAGCACCCCTCATGGCTTTCCTACTCATACCCTTTGACCAGGGCCAGGGCAAAAGTGTCCGTCCGTTAACTAGGTAGTAGTATAACTGCTCAGGGTAATGCTTAAATAAGAAGGCAAATGCGATGCAAAAAGAACTTGTAAACTATAGAGAGAACCTGCAGAGTGTAATGATTTGTTATCAGAGCTCTGTTCCTTCCTGACTCGACATAACATCTAAGGCGCTTTTCTGCTTCACTGCTTTACCTTGGGGCAGGGGAAATTGGTCTGAGGTCACCAAAGGTGAGGTTACCGGTTGAGACACACGAATGTGTTTGCCGCATAAAGGAGGAAAAATCCACAGATTTCCGCCAGTTGCTGTTGAATCAATTTTGACTCCTGACAGCTCTGTGTGTTTGAGAGTCAACCATGGTCTCCAGTATTCTTAATGACTGAGATACTTTTGGAAATAGATCACCAGGTCTTTCTTTCTTCCAAGGTACCTCAGAGAAGCTCAAATCACCAAACTTTCAGTTCATAGTTTATTATTTAACACTTGGTGCCATGGGGGCGGGGAGGGGAAGTCCTGTCAAAAGGGGAGGGGCCTAGAAATTCCTATGACTTTGAGGTTTTAGTGAGTCTCTGAATAACAATACTGTTTTATAGGGAGGCATGAGAATGAAGTGAATGAAAGCGGAGGCTTCTAGGATCCACCTACCTGAATCTGAACGCTGGCCCCAACTCTTAGGATGTGTGTGACCTGCTGCAGACTTAACCTCCGTCTGTCAGTGTCCTCAATAATGACAATAATGACAGTCCCATATCTGAGGGTTACCGAGAGGATTCCATGATGGAGCTTATGTAAAACACTTAGAAAAGCAATTGGGGGGTGGGGAGGAGGAAAATGTGCAACAATGAATGAATGGAAATCCAAGTTTGCTGTAAACTTTTGTTACAATATCATCAATTAAAAAAAAGAAAAGTACTTGGAAGGTACCTAGACTGTATTCAGCACATAGTGATTAGAGAAAGATGATATTTTTCTGTTTAACAGTCTAGTATCAAACATCTTAACATGGATTCTTTAACTTCATATTGACCTAAACCTCTCCCTTTGAGATAATACATTATTATTTCAATTTTATAGATGAGGAAATGGAGGCTCAGAGAGGCTTCAGTTTTAGTAACTTGCTTGAAGTTGTGCTGTTGAGTAGTAGCAGAACCAAATACAAAAAGCTAAATAAATAACAGTTTGCCCACAAGTAGGACAATTCTTGGGACGGTTACCAGAGATGAGAAGGGAGGAGAGGGGCACACAAATTGGTAAATAAGTAACAGACACTTGTGAAGATGAGCAAAGGGAAGGATGGTGCCCATCAAGAGGAAAATCAGGACAATATCAGTAAAGAAAAGAAAGAGAGGGGTGGAAGGATTAATGGAAAGCACTGCAAGAGGGAAGTGGGGAAACGGATTCATTCATTCTGTAGAAATTAATGTTTTAGAACAGAATGTGTATGAATGGTTGAATGAACATTACTTTGCTTTATAACTTTCACTTCAAATGATATTTTTTTAAAAAAGAAATGGCAGAACCAGGGTTTGAAGCGAGTTCCTCTGATTCCAGAAACTGTCAGTGTTCTCTGCTGCCATGCTGTATTGTACTCATATACCAGCAGAATGTTTCCCTTGAAGGAAAGCTGTGGGAAATTGGTTAAGGTGGCTGTAACACTGAAAGTTAGGTGTAAATGGGGAGATTTAATTGCCCTGGAAGGTCCTTTGGATACATTATCATGCATCTCAAAAGCTTTGATAATCAGAGTACCTTGGAAAGACCTTCCCCTTATTGCTTTAGGTCAGAGGTTGGGGCTTAAGGCCTTGGGGGAGAGCGGGGGCGGGGAACTTGCAGTGTGGCTGGCCACAGGCTTTCTGTGGACTTTGCTGGCTCAGAGGGAGGCACAGCTGAGCATTCTACGTCTAAACCTCTTAAAGACTTCCTAACCCCAGAGCTTTGTTTCCTGTCCTCACTTCTCATTGTTTCAGTTAATTTAGGGTTAAAAGCCGCCCTTTACAATCACAGCCAGGAGTTAAGAGGAAGAATTCCACTTCCAGAACTCAGAGGAGTTGTGGTTGTCCGGAAGGGCTTTCTTTGTGGAGTGTCATATGTCTGCTTACTTGTATGAACATCCAAGTCAGGGGCTGCCAGCCCCCCTCCACACACCCCCACACCCTAGCTGCCCCATCTTCACAGAGCTGGGAGCTGCTGCTCAGATGCTGGGCAAGAAGTCAGACTTGCCTGCAGCTTGCGGCTCACTGGATGCCCCTCGGTGGAATGCTTTGTTCCTGAGGTGAAAGCAGGACTCCTGTTATCACTTAACCAAGAGAGGGGGTGGCGCCCTGGAGAACTGGGCCTAGAGCGCTCGCCTGCAGCCCCAGGGGGCCGCTCTTCTCCTTACTCCCCTGAAGCCTGTTCCTCAGGTTCTCAGAAGCAAACTCTTTGGGGAAATGTAAACTTTCATCCTCCTTATCCTTCTGCTCTCTCAGCCTCCGCTCACTGAGCATCTTTGTGTTTCTTCCATATGTATTTCCTTGTTCAATTCTTGTGATTTTTCATTTTAACAAATGAGGAAACTGAGGCCAGAGAGTTAAGTGACAAGGTTGCAAAGTCAATAGAGCCCCGTTGTTTCTGCTCAAGTTCACTGCTTTTTCCCACTCTCCCCCCTTCTCTGTGTTATTACCCCTTTCACCTCTACGTCCCCATCAGGCCATCCGTATTTCTCAGCATCTTCGCCCTGTTGGCTTTTGGAGCTAACTTTTCATTGTTGCAGGGTTGTCCTGTGCGTGGTAGGCTGTTTATAGCAACGCTGGCTCGTCTGCAAGTCACACTACCAGCTATGACAACCAAAAAAATGTCCCCAGGTGTCAAAGCCATTGCCGTGGAGTCAGAACTGACTCATAGCTGACCTCTCTGCCAGTATTTGAGGCTATAAATTGCTCGGAAGGAGATTGTTTGTCTTTCTTCCTCAGAGCAGCTGGTGGATTCAAACTGCCTGGCTTTGAGCTGGCACTACAACCCCTGCTTCCACCCTCCTCTCTCCGCCCTGCTTCCACCCACTGGGAAATCCAGCACCTTTTCTAGGGCAACCACTTTCCTTAGCATTTGAAGGGGGAGCTCAAAGCCTTGGCTGATTCTTTCTGAATGCCGGTTCTGTTCCCCAGAAACATAAATTTGATCCATTCCAGGAAACCGCGCAGGTTCCACCCACTCACCCAACTATAGGTTAGATGTTCATTCTCACCCTGGTGAAGTGAAGTGAAGTGAAGTGAAGAGGGGTCTAGGGCTCTCCCTTAGCTCACAAAGGAGGCAGCGCAAACCCTGTCCATCCTGAGCTCTGGTGGCCTAGTGCATTGGGGGTAATGCTACTAACCCCAGGTGGTGCCTCCCTGCCAGTCTCCTCCGGTGTGAATTGCAGCCTCTGAAAACCACTGCAGAGTCAGCTATGAGTCAGTTCTGACTCTACCATAGTGAGTTGTGTTCTTTGATTTGCAGCAAAGCACAGATTCCTAATGGGAGGCAGGAATGTCTAACAAGGAGAGGAACTGAGAGAGAGGGAAAGAGAAGCTGGACCAGGTAAACAGGGAAGGAAGAAAGGTGGAAATTTAGGAACTGACTCCAGCCCAGTCTGGAGGCACCGCCCAGCTGAAGGGAGGAAGGGGAGTAGAAAGTGGGGGAGGGGGGGAGATCAGCAATGAATTGTGGCCCCCTCTTTTCCCAGCTGCAAGCAGCCCAGCGGGCTAGATGAATGGTGGGAGGGGGGAGAGTGACCCTGGCAGAACCCTTTGTTCCAGCTGAGGCTGGAGCAGGGGCACCGAGCCATTCACACGCCATCCCCGGGCACCATGCTGGGCACGCTGGGAAGGGGGCACAGCCGGCCGTAGGACTTGGCCAGGCAGAGAGCTCCACACTCAGGAAGCCCAGCTGCTCTGCCCATCATGCAGGAATGCCCCTTCACACCCATCCCAGTCACTGGTCCCTGACTTGGTCTGGTTCTTTCCCCATGTCTCCTGGTGGCTCTCCTCTGCTTCCTTTTCTCCTGTGTGGACGTGTTCTTTCTAAAGGAGCTCCAGGATTTTATTCTCAGTATGTTTGCCCTTCCCAGCCAATGACTCCAGGTCTAGTATTGAATAGAGGCAAAACCAGCCCTATCTCGATCTAGTTTGGGAGGGAAGGAGATGAACACCTTCCAGGGTCCCCCCCCCAACTTGTCCATTCTTCTTCTAACCCTCCAAGGTCATAATTTGGCTCTAGACAGAGAAGTTCTGTCTAGAAGGGGCACCTGGACAATTTGTGAGGTGTCGTCTTGACCATTTATGCCTAAGGGGAGGGAAAGAAGGGGTGGCGAAAGTGTCTCTTGCAGTGGTGCTGTGACCCGCTGAATGGCAGTGCCCTGGGTCTAAGTTCCTGTCCCCACCACAGAATGAGCTCTGGTCGGTTGGGAACTGAGGGTCGAGCCCTCACTGCCTCCTCTTCCCCCTGCCTAGGCCTGGCCAGCAGCCCTGAGTGCGCCTGTGGTCGGAGTCACTTCACGTGTGCGGTGAGCTCCCTGGGCGAGTGTACCTGCATCCCTGCCCAGTGGCAGTGTGACGGAGACAACGACTGTGGGGACCACAGCGATGAAGACGGATGTAGTAAGGACCTCCCCACAGGATGGCGGGAATCCGGGCAGGGTGGGGAAAACAAGGACACGCCTTCTAGAATGCTCCATGGATCAACTGCTTCACACTCAGGTCCTTGCTAGGTACACAGATATTGACAGAGAACTGATTTCTTCAGTAGTTGAAGCTGAAGTAGTTCAGAAGCTGTTGAGTTGATTCCACAAGCCTGGGCACCACAGAAGGAATCCTTGTCCGTTCTTGAAGCGTCCTTGCAATCTCCGCTGGGCTTACGCCCCTTGTCACAGCCACTGTGTCTGTCTGTCTGTCTCACTGAGGCTCTTCATTCATTCCCTGATATTCTTCTCAGTATATGCGTCCCCAGCTCCGCCCTCACCTAAGTTCCTACTGTTTGGCACATGTATATATATGTCCAATGAAGAGAAAGGAGAAAACAGACCCAAACCTTAGCAACAAGTGTGGAAGGAATGAGAAAACCCCAAACAAACAAAAAACCACCCTTGGAACAAGGTAGAGGCTTTTAAAAGACGCATTTACGTGAACATGCATTTTGTATACATATTTTTAATTTCTCTCTCATACATGGATAGACTGTTTCACTTTCTACTATTGGTATATATGCTATGCCATCCCGCCTTTTGTTGGTATCATAAATATTGTGACTTGTTCTTGTAGTAAGATATTAAAGAGCAAAACAGGCTTGGCCGTCATCTTGGAAATACAGAAGTGTCCCTGCCCAGCCAGGTGTCTAGGTGTAGGGACACAGTCCCTGACCTGTCACATCCACATCTGAGAGTGGCTAATGAAGCGAATGAGAACAAAGTTACCATCTGGAGCTCAGTTAACCCCGACCATCAAGCCTCACAGTTAATTTGTGAGGATGGTAAACGCCTGGCTTTCATATGCGGTATCTCACAAAGCCCCTGTAGCTGAGTATGACTGTCCCCATTGTACAGTTGAAGAAACTGTTTAAGAGAAGGTCACTGACTTGCTCAGTGTAATAAGTTATGAATTTTACCACTGGAAACTGGCCCCAGATGCGTTAATCGTTGTTTAACAAAAGGAGAAAAGGATTCTTTTTCTCTTGCCCATGTTTTTCTTGCTGTTTTCTGAGGGGTTTTTACATCCTTGGGGGGTGGGTCTTCCCCGCCTTGTGAACCCTCAACCAGCATCCCCTTCTAGTACTTTCTCTTCTTGGCTCTAGGGTGTGCTCAGCTTCTGGGCAAGCTTGGAGCCCAGGAGGAAGAATTGGGAGGGAGACAGGTCCAGCGTTGTTAGAGGGGTTCCGAGCCCAGTGTAGCCTGTCTGGGTGAGGATCCTGGATTGATTTGCTTTCCCTTCTTTTTCCTTTGGTCTCAGTGCTGCCCACCTGCTCCCCTCTTGATTTTCACTGTGACAATGGCAAGTGCATCCGCCGTTCCTGGGTTTGTGATGGGGACAACGACTGTGAGGACGACTCGGACGAGCAGGACTGCCGTAAGTGGTGCGGGAGTGAGTGGTGTGGGGGTGAGTGGTGTGAGGGTGAGCACC